TAAAGTCTGGCTCAAATCGTTGTGAATGGCCACATTCGCATATCTCACCCTCTCATGTACAGTATAGTGTTACATCACTCTCATGGAAACCGTAGTCAACTTAATATTTCTCAGGTAGCTTCCACATGGCGAACGGAGCGGAGATTTAATTACTGTACCCCGCAGGGACGACGTGTGGGGAGGCGTGTGAGAGGCGGAGAGACTATTAAAAGATTAGGCGGCATTTCCTTTCATGTACGTCCGCCATATTTAGACCCAGAATGGTAAAGCCTGGCTAAAATCGTTGTGAATGCGGTCTATGACGGAAGCATTGAGTATCATTCATTTAGCCTACCCCCTGACCACAGTGTGCGCTCTAGAAGTCTGCTACAGAATCATTGTACCGCTGATCCTTTAATTTTGTACTATTATACCTGTTATCAGAGGGTAAACCTAACTCGAGTTCCACATCCAAATCAATATGAAAGATTAAATACTTTTTAAAATTGACCGCACAAATTGGGACACTGATTTGAATCTTTTATTTAAAGTATGTTTACATTTTGTTTAAGTGAATCATACCTGTATCATTTTCAGTTTCCCCGTGATCTCTCCTATCACATCCGTCTCAGTGATGCTGCCGTAATGGAGCAGTGCCATGACAGGTGGGTCTGTTTTTGACGTCATCAGATCTTGGAGCTTGGCCACGGCGTTTCCAACATGATATACAGATTCGTTTGCAGGCACCTTCAGATAGAAGAAAACAATGGCTTAATTATCAGTGGATTGATTTCTTTTAAAGGGAACTACTAAGTAGCTACTGCAATAATGTCACCTGTAAAGAAGCCTATATAGTGTTAACAAGCCTGTATAGTCTATACAACATTGGTCAAAAAGGTTGTCCCACCCCTGTTTCCATGTACTTTTATTTACAAATGATCACCTCACAGCTGTAAATTTTTAGAAATAGTGCTTTTTATTACAGATACCGTGTCTAAAATGATTAATGGTTTAAAAAAATACAAAATAATGGTGAAAATATACACATTTCTTGTATCCCATCGATGGTCAAAGAGGGTCCATAGATATGTTAAAATGCCTCTTTGAAGGGTGTGTGTAGGATAATATTGCCTGAGGTGTTAGGTCAGTCCGCATTTGGAGAACACTCCAAGCCCATGGTATTAGTACATTGTTCCTTTTGGAACAAAACGTAACAGGGACATTTTATTGTAACATTCTCAACAGAAATCTCACTCCATTTGCAAGAGGTGACTTCAGGGATGCTACTGGCTTCATTGTGACAACGCACTTGCTCACAGCTCTCTTCTGGCAAGCGATTTGTTGCAGAAACACAGGGCTCTGAGGATCGGATAACCGTCTTTGAGCCCTGATATTAATCCTACTGAGCACCTGTGGCATGAATTGGAATGTGCATTGCAGAGGAGAACCAATTCCCAAATAATTTGACCAATTCCTCCACGATCTTTAGGATGAATGGGACAATATCCCACATAACAGAATTGTTACCCGTGTTGAAGGCTTGTCGCGCCGACTACAGAAGATAATTGCAGTAAGCGGTAGACGCACACGCTGTTAGGCACGTGATCTTTATCGAGCACACCCTGATGCTAATTGTGTGTGAATTTGGTGACATTTGATGGCGAATAGAGATTTCTTTACATCTGTAGAAGTTACAGTGAAACAGTGGATTTGAGGGGGTACATGTACCTCTTACAAATTTTACTATTTTGTATTTTTTTAACCATTAATCATGTTAGACACGGTATCTGTAATAAAAAGCACCATTTCTAACAATTTACAGCTGTGAGGTGATCATTTGTAAATAAAGTACGTGGGAATGGGGGTGGGACAACCTTTTTGACCAATGTTGAATAGTGCGGGTAAACAAGCCTATAAAGTGTAAACATGTCTATAAAGCCTATATAGTGCGGACCTACGTGCCTTAGCGTTCCTTTCAAACTACAAGAAATACATGGATGAACTATTTACAGTGCTAAAGAAAGGTGAATTGTACATACAACATTAAAGACAGATGGAAACATTTGAAAGATGGCGTCGAGACTAGTCGACTGAGACCCTATTTTTCGAGGAAACATTGTTGGGCCGGCTCACCGTGAGAGACTAACAACTTAAAAGTTGCAATCATTGAAATATTTGTACTATTACGTGAGAAACTCATCTCAACAGAACCCCCATGCCCGAAGCCCCATTTTAATTAACACCAGCAAACTTGTGAAAGGGGTAAAAATCCCTGTAGAGTAATAACATTTATTTGCGTCACAAAGTCGACCGGTCCAGTTATGTTTTAACAACTTAAAAGTTGAAGTAATATTTGTTTATAACATCTAATGTCAAATGAATAGTTTTACAGCTTTTCAAATTGTGCACTTTCTGACATTTTTTTTCTGCTTTCACATTGAAAATAACAGATTAAAAATACTTCAGACAGACTGAAATTATATTTTTCCTTGATTCATATACCAAAAAGAATGAATTATGGGTTAACTCCACTCACCGAAGTGTTTTTGATGACGAGACGCAGCGTGTGCCCTGACAGCATTTTGGGATGGTTGTTGATGTCGTTGAGGGCCAGCTGAACAGGGCCATACATTTGCTCGTTGGGCGTGCCAATCGGAGCGAGCATACCGAAGTAAATATCAGCGCCTTCAGTAACACGGAGACACAGACCCAATAACAGCGCAATGTTGCCAAACACTTCCATTTTCAAACGCACAAATTCGTATAACAATCTCGTCGTTGCACAGTGTCCGTACGACAGCGTTTACCATCTGATAAACTTCGAAACGGTAATCTGCAGTTCGAAGATATATCATGGAACTTAAGGATAAAAGTGACTTGTCAATTTGTAGATAATACTTCATTCTACTCAATGCCACTATTTTCACAAAAACACCCCCTCACGAAAATTCAGTGGTATCGAAGTGGCAAAGAAACATTAACGCAGTAGTGGTGTAGAGCATATTTGCAGTAGAAATGCAGTATAGCCTACTGCAATTCTACTCCAAAAAGTACATAGGTTTGTACAGAGAGGAGCATTATTGCAGTAGATTAGCAGCCTGATAGAAGCATGTTTCAAATTTGCTAATTAGCTCCCAAATCGAAGCAGATTTGAAGCATGTTTGCAGTATGATTGCAGGAGTCTACTGCGATGGAGTATCTACTGCGTTTTCATGCGGGTATCATTATTAAATATGTGTCTGGGATTGTATAACACCAGGCTGGCAGCTCCATTTTCAACTTTTGCATGTTTTTCTCTGGCTAGGGGGTCTTGATGACCTGATAAAGTGGTTAACTTTGATATCTTTGCTAATTCAACATATATTGAAAATCTGACACCCATTCTTGTTGATACCAAAGAGGGCTATCGAGTGAAGATGTCTACACATGTTCATTTGTAGTGGACTTCTAGTTTTAAGGGTATAAAGGTCATACTGAGATCACCTATTAAGCGTTATATCTCCTTACGTTCCGATTACATAATTAAATGAGGATATGAAATAAAAATCAGTTGAAATAAGCTTTCTATCGATATGCAACATGTTGGCATATCTTGGCTGGTTAAGAAGATAGCCACCCTGTTAATCGGAACCTTAAGCTATTGTTAATCTGTGTTGAAAATCAGAATAACGTAAATAAGACAAAAATCCACAAATATATAATAATTCATGTCGCCAAAGGTACCAATGAACCTAATGAACAGACCCATTAAAATGATAACATCCATTAATCAATATCATTACATTTTTTAAAAACTTTTTATTAAATATCAATTCATTTCATATTTTATATCACAGTATTATTGATTACTTTGTAGAGTTTACTTAACATTTAAATGGATTTTAGACTTTATATATTTAACATTTAATAATTAATTATTTTAATGTCATTCTTACTTTGATAAGTTTACAACAGATATATACACATTCCTTCTAACTTAATTTATATCATTGTAAAATATTCGCCTCTGTCTTCCAATACAGTTTGCTGGGGAGCCATGAAGTAAGGGCCCTTTACAATGTATGCTGTAGGTGAGCTATCTCACTTAACTCTATATAATTGACAATAAAGCGTAACAAAATAACTACAATGTAGACATTTGATAATAGTAAAGTCACACATATGTATTAAGGTGCACAGAAAACTGGATGATATTTCTGCTCATGATGTGATCCTGATTGTAAATGTAAATTGGACATTGTACTTATGAAAAGAATGCAGATACAACTTACCTTGCTTGTTCGGCCTGATATCTGATCCAGCAATGAGACGTCCTAGAACAGGCTTCGCCCACGGATATATTGTCACTATCAATGTCTCTATGGAAACGGAGGTGACTCAAATAAAACTATCCAATCACAACCATTCTTAATATAACCATACACTAGTATGTCACTGTTAACGGTATAGCTCTGTGCAAATTAGTCATATACATTACACTACTTGTTTTGGCCAAGGGTTAAGCCATTCTGCTTGGATTAAATACATTTTTATGGAACACTATGTAGAGTAACGATGGCAAAATAATCAGTGCATCTGATACGCTCTTTCTGCATCTCATTATTGTCGGATTGGGTTGATTCGGTTTCTTTATAATCTCCTTCTTTCTCTTGCTCTCTTTCTCTCTCTCATCACTTCACCTAGCTACCAATCACCGCTCTCTAATTTTCGCACATCATTCTCACACACAATCTCTCTCTCTCTCTCTCTCTCTCTCTCTCTCTCTCTCAAAGTGACAACACATATTAAACATGTCGAATGCAAATATTTATCTGTATAGGTTATCTACCACGGAAGATGACAAGTGAAACTATTAGAATAAAAATCCACCAGAATGAGGGCATCACGTTCATAAAAATGTAGTTTAGCTGGCAATCGCCCATCTTTTTCCTTCTTCCCACTCTCTCATTAGTTTGTCTAACTCAAGCACGACAACCACCCTCCACATACACACACACACACACACACACACACACACACACACTCACACACAGTGGTCCATATATTGAAATAAAACATTTACCAATATTCGCAGTTTACCATTATAGATAGGTGAAACATTACAGCGATTGAACGGGAATGAAGGCAAATGCACTTAATTGTTTAGTCCCATTTCACAATTCTCATCACAGCTGACTTGTGGCCTAGCTGACACAAAATATTCAACATTATTTCAATCAGCTATTATGAATACATGAGGACAAAATCCCAACAAAAATCTAATTGAGATTATGTGGTAACTCAATTAGGGCAACCCGCACGAAAACGCAGTAGATACTACAGCGCAGTAGACTAATGCAATCATACGTACTGCAAACATGCCTCAAATCTGCTTCGATTTGGGAGCTAATAAGCATATTTGAAACATGCTTCTATCATGCTGCTAATCTACTGTATTAATGCTCCTCTCTGTACAAACCTATGTACTTTTTGGAGTAGAATTGCAGTAGGCTATGCTGCATTTCTACTGCAAATGTGCTCCACACCACTGCTGCGTTAATGCTTCTTTGCTACTTCGATACTACTGCATTTTCGTGCGGGAACATAAGCCTTTACCCACTGTAGGACCTATAGGAAACTGGCCAAAATCCCACTGGGTCCAATGAGACACATATACTAGATCTGAAGGCCGTTTGATAAAATCCCTATAGAGACCTGTGGGTGGTTCTTTTGATCTTCCGATTTGGACCCTGGAACCCACTACCAAAGATCCATCTACTGCTGTTGCAAAATCGGTTGAAGGTACTTGACCAATATTTGAGACTGCTAACGCAACTCGACAGCACCATCCATCCGGCGTCTGTTAGCAAATAGGTGGACCTATTTTCAGAAGCTTCAAAACAATCTCGAAACTAAAAATTGAATGGCAAATTAAATTTCTTGGGGGATACCCCCTAATATGGTCACAGATTGATTGTCACCAGATATTCACAGATATGTCTTTGGCTTATTCCTGACACAATCTTCCGTCAAAATGTACACCTTATTAATCTGTGGCCCTGGTAAAGGGTTCATGGGCAGAAGGATGTTCTCAACCATTGTTTTAAGGCCTGTTCTATAGTCAATTTCAGAAGAATACGAACCTTTCCCACGTCAACCAAACCACCATCATAGATAATTATTTTTATTATTGTAGTTATTGTCGGATCTTAGTTTGGTTGAAATGACAATTACCGTCACCTCTCACCACCCATCTCTCTCTCTCTCTCTCTCTCTCTCTCTCTCTCTCTCACACACACAAACGCACGAAGACACAGTGACTCATATCCTAATAAACGTTTACCAATATCCCCATTTCATCCTTAAAATGAAGTGAAACTGATGAAAAACAAAACACTAACTGAACAGAAATGAGGGCAAATGCAATTAACTGTCTATTCCCATTTCACGCTTATCTATACAGCTGACTTGCAACCAGACACAAAATATTAAATAACTATAATCGGCCATTATGTCTATATTGCGTTATGGGTGACTTTCATGACAAGTTAGGGTTAATAAACAAGTTAATAAACAAGAGCATTACCACAAGGAATGTTGGTAGTGGAGAAAGGAATGGGGGAGGGAAATGTTGATAGAATGGGCCATGGCAAACAAGATTAAGATCATGAACACCTTCTACAGAAAGAAAAATATAAGAGGATGGACATGGGAAAGTCCAGACGCTAAATAAAATAATGAAATTGATTACATCATGACAAACAGACCAAACATATTGACTGACGAGAAAGTACTGAACAGACTAAACATCGGTATTGACCTCAGAGCTGTCTTGGGAGTGATTCGGATCAATGTCAGGAAGGATGGAAGAATGCAAATATGATCATAAGGCGTAACAGAAAAAACATAAAGACTTACAGACCCATCTGCTTATTATCAAACCTGTATAAGATTTATACCAAGATTTTTGTCTCAAAGGCTAACAAAAGCCTGAATTAATTAGCACAGCCAAAAGGATATGCAGGTTTCAGAACAGATCACATGCATATTGTCAACCAGCTGAAGAAAATTTTATGAAGACAACCAGGCTCAACCACCTCATGTTTGCAGGTGACATCATAGTGGTAGCAGATGACCCAAACGATCTTCAGACAACACTAGAGACCGTAGCAGATGTAAGCCTCAGGTGTGGGTTAAACATAATACCAGCAAGACTAAAGTAATAGGAGAAATGAGATAAATGCAATAGAAGAGTATGTACAGGTATAACTTGGGCAACGTTTCAGCCTCAGCGACAAAACTCTGGATGAAGAAATCCAAAGAAGAATAAACGCAGGATGGGTAGCGTTAACAAAGCACGAAGATATATTAAAAAGCAGTCCCCCTACCTGTCTGAAAAGGAAAATGTTCAATGCCATCTGTGACCTATAATTTAGAGACGGACAAATAATGCATCCATGGAACAAAATCTATTAACGGCATGTAAAAAGTTAGAAAGAATTTTGTTAAACCTTAGAGTATGAGATAGGATGGCCATCAAGTGCACAAGAGAACAGATCAAAGTGAAGGATGTGCTTCTTATAGTTAAAGAGATGAAATGGAGATGGAAGGACATATCAGTAGAATCAAAGATGGCAGATGGACAATAAGGGTGACAGAATGGACACCAAGATATAAATATAGGAAACAAGGGAAGCCTCGTAAGAGATGGATTGATGAATTAGACGAATACTGAAAAAAAAAAAAAAAACTGGAATTGTGGAG